TAGTTCTTATTTATTTTGTTTTTTTCTCTAATTTTATTTCTTACAAATACTTACAGAAAATGATCGTTGATCATCAAATAATAATATTGTAAATTATTTCAGGAAAACTTTTATCGGAAGAGTAATTAATAGAGGAGAACATTCCAACATTTATATAAATAAGCAAGACAAGGAGAACAACATTTTACCTTATCACACTGTTATCTATGACTGTGACACCGCAAAATAATCGCGGTTTGATTCTTTCATGCTTTTTAAAACTTTTATCGGAGTAAAGCTTAAAATCTTTGCACTGAATTTTGAATGGCCCTGTAATTTGACCGTGAAATAATATACGGAGAGTGTTTTATTTAAAAAAAACATATGTACAGTTCTTTACGCATTGAAGTGGGTTTTACCAATACGATAAGGCAAAAAACCATTTAGAAATATAATGTTGCTTATGCTGATAATACAGACACTGTTGAAGACAACATCGAGCACATGCGTGAGTTATTTCAAATCTCGCTTGCCTGGGATCTTGCGGAGTGCAACAATCGACATGGCCACTGACACCATTCATTACATTTTCAACGGAAAAATAAATGAAGTGTGTGGAGTCAATCACGCGTCAAGTCGGTGAAATCTTCAAAAAATTGGTTACAAAACTTTAAATCATTTTTTTGAGTGCTAAGAATATATGAGCACAAATATGTAAAACTAAGCGAATTAATTAAATTAAATGAAATTAAAACAACATTGGGACTTGCTTCCGATATAACTGAAAGTTCCACGAAATTTTGAAAGAAATTTCCAAAATATAATTTTATGCGTGTTCATATTAATAAATTTTAAATTATTTTGTTTTATTTATTTATTATTATTTTTTATTACATTTGTTTTTTTTATTACGGCGAGATACAAACATTTTCGAAAAAGTATTTTTCAAAGTCAACGAAATCGGTAAAATCATTGAGAAATCAATTTTTGGGGTGGTAATTTCCTCCTATTTTTTCTAATAGCAAATAATAAATGAGGTACGAAGTGTATGGTATTACAGAGGAACCCAATAAAGGACCTAGTTCTAGCCAAATCCAACTGGGGCCTAACGAGATTCCCAGTATATTCTATGGAGCGCTCTTTATTTTGTTTCTCGAGTGGCGATATCGTTAAAAAAAAATTATCAAACAACAATATAGGCGCTGGATCCAGTCCTCGCCAACGCCGGGCTTTTCTGTTATTGTCGAACGAACGCTAGTTATTTATAACATAACGTGTAGAGCGGCGGGCCACTTATTGCGCCCATTAGTTTTTGTTTAATTTGTTTCTGCCAACAGCCAAAATGGCGAACACGCATGCAATCGCCTTGTAAATATCGCAGATTTGCCACCACCAGATTTAGTAAAATGGGTTCCTATTGGTTTTACGGCGGTCCAGTAATTAAATTGGTGATATAAAGTGTAAAAAATGTAAATCAGTATCAGAAAAATATAAATTTAATTGGAAGACCGTATAAAACCGTAAGAATTTTAGCAGGAACGGATACTTGCAGATATGCATCTTCTAGATTTCTCCTTCGTCGTAGAAAATAGTAACACTCCTCTTCGCTTTCTAGACATTCTGATTAATGCAAAACCAGACTTAACCTTGAGCCTAAAATTCCTCGAATCAAAACAATCTCTCTCTCTCTCTCTTCGGCCTATGGCTAGTACCAGTTCACCAACGTACTTCTTCAGCACACTATAAGGACTCAATTTTAAAACCTTTCACAGGAACAGTTCCAGTTTTGTGCTTAATTCCTTTCATCTTATTCAAGAACTAAAAAGTACGATATTCTAGTTAGTTTTGACGACTCTCTCTTTATACTAAAGTTCCTATTGCTGAGACACTAACATCTCAAACATCTTAAAATATGAAAACCTCCCAGTAGATCTTCTCATTTTAATCGAAAAATGTACTTCATATGTAACGGCCAAATTTACTAACAAATATCAGGAACAGCTGTGGGTTCCCTACCGCTGAAGAGATATATATGGAGCGGATGCCCGTCCTCCATTTCCATAACATTTCTGTGATGGCATGCGATACATCCGGTCAGTCCTGACTGGTGGTCAATCGAATGAACACAAAGTTTTCAATGTCTTCATGAATTGGTAGTTGTTGATCTGCCGCTATTTTTCGATGTAGGCATACTAGCGCTTTTTGTCTAAGTGTTGGAAGCCAGTAAGTTGGATTAGAATTACACCCGCTGGTATTGTCACCTATGTTATTCAGCAACTGAGTTAGTTTTTTATTGGGTGTAACTCTTAGGAACCTCTAGACTGTGTCAAAAGCAGCCGTTAGCCTAGAAACACACCTTCCTGCTACACAACTGACAGCCCCCAGGAATCTTCTGTAATTTCCATGTTTTAATGAAATCCATAGATCCTGACCAAGTCTGACTTAAAGTTTTCTCAGCTTGTTTTCTGGAAGTTCCATCTAGGTTTGGGAAAGAATCTTATTGGAGGAATTTGAGTGTCCACCTCCAGTATTATGGGTCTGTGCTTTTCGAGAAGTCGTGAAGAACTTTTTTTAGATATATTTATAGGTTGCCCCTGGTCGTTACAAATGTCAAAGCGGGATTGCGCTCTCTGTTTCAGGTAGGAGGAGCATAAAATATTAGTTGGAGGTCTTGTTTTTTTTCTGCGGCCCATTCTATCATACTTTTAGATAGACAGTAGAATGGGGTAGCGATGGAAGGGTCTGAGGTCTCCAGTTAGCTGCTGTAGTTAGCAGTTATGATGTTATGGCATAACTGGGGATTTTTGCCTTGAACGTGCTTGGTCTTTATGTTGCAGATGAGTGACCTGGATTAGCATCAGATCAATGTTATTGTCTTTCGATAATCTAAATGGAAATCGGGATTTAGATTTACTTATGTCCTCTACGTTAGTGAGTTTAAAAAGGCTGGTGGATTGGTACGTTTCCATATGATCTAGAGACCAAAAGATAGCCGGACTGCCAATCGCTATAGTTCTTTAGCGTTTTATGGTATACCACGAGGAGGCGAGCTATAATTGCACTCCAGAATCTACACCCGCCGTAGGAGAAATCTCCAAGATGTGTACCTCTGCGGAAGTTTCTTAAAAATAAAAGAAATGGATACTGTCGTGTAGAGAGGCGCATATTTGCTATTACATAGTTTAGTTGCAGGCGGCATTGCTATTTTCTTAGACAAGCGATTTCGACACATAATTAACTCGTTTACGCAGAATATTTAACGAGATGTAGGAATATTTTAAGAAAATATTGCGTAAAAATGCTGTATCCAAACTTATTGGGGCCATGTTGGGCGTTGAATGTTGCATGTTGCATGTCATTGGTTAAAAGCAAGATTTTAAATCTCGCAAATGCACATGTTAAATGGACCTTCTCAAAATATTTCCTATATTATCGGCATAGGCAAGGCCGCTGTGTCTCTCGTAGCTATATGGGTAAGCGACAATGGTATTTTCCAGGGCATGCACCTATATTTCACACACAAACGTGCATTTTACGTAACTTTCTTACTAAACAACGATCTGCACACACTTAATATTTCTGGACTAGTTCCAAGAAAGTACTGCGACATCCATCCACAAGAGATTGTGGTCAATGACGTAATAAGAGACAAGTTTTAATGGAATCAAGAAGAATTTTGGTTTGATAGCACCGAAACCGTCAAGAAAGGATGAAGTCATGGTAATAGCAGGAAATGTTCGTTGGATGTGCCAGTTTCGCTTGGCAAACGAATTATCATACTACATGCGGTCTCTGAAGCTGGTTGGGTAGATAACGCTTTGTTGCTTTGTGCAAAAGATATCAAAGAAGCAACGGTTGACTACCACGAAAACATAACAGCAGACATCTTTGAAAAATTGCTTCCTAATATTCCACCAACAAGTGTTGTGATGAAGAGAAAAAAGAAGTCACTCAATTTTTTTTTCTTGAACATGATACCTGTTTTGAAAATTCCTACAGAAGGAAGAAGTTATCAAGACGGGAAGTTGGCCATGGAGCGGGGATTCAAAGTTGTCCATCTTCCACCATATCACTGCAATTTTAACCCATCAAACTGATCTAGGGATAGCTGAAACCCACTTTAAGGAGAAACAACACCTCGCCGAAATTAAGTTCTGGGGCTATAGAAATGATTAAAATTGAAGTAGAAAAAATATCTGCTTCTAGATGGAAAAAATTCGTAGAACATGTCATGGAAGAAGAAGATGGATTTTTCACAGCATGTACTAAGAATAATCGAGGAATCTCACCGATGAAACTCTATATAAATACATCAGCTTTCAGCATTTGTATGCATGACGTACCCAAGTACGGTTCTGGAACGTTATTGTGTAATTGCGATTCTATTTATTAAGGGTTACAAAGAGAAACCCAAGCGAGGTAAGCCTGCGGTTAGACCTACATAAAAATTTACCAAAGTTAAATACCAGATTATGTTGTAAAAACGGTATATCATTGGGTTAAATGATTATATACTTGCACTGATGCCAACTAAAGAAAAAATCCTATTTTTAGGTAAATTTGAAATAGGCATGAATAATCTATTGAAGCAACACAGGTCTCTTTGAATAGCCGCAGTAATATTGTTATTTCTACTTATAACATTACAAGATTTTCGGTTAATTTGTTTTTTTGGTTGTCAGTGGGTTTCGTTTAAGTATTTAAAATGTGAGCGATATTCTTCAAAATACCTGTAATTAGACGCTGTTTGTTGTGTGACTATAAATTTGTCTGCACATGCGCAATAATCTCTTAACCCTAGGAGTTCTTTTTAGCACATGGACGTTCTGTTTCTCCTTATTCATATCTACTCTTATATATCAGCCAAAGTTTCTTAATTGTTTGTTGTATACTTACCTAATTACTTATACTTACCTAATTACTTATACTTACCTAATTACTTTACACTTTCTAAACTATACTTTAGTAGCTATTTCATAGTTATTAATTCTTGAGTAACTGGAGGCTCTTTTTTAAACCAGATCTGTCAAAAAACCGCTTCACGGAACTGCCCGATATCATCACCGGCTTTTACTTCCTCGAACGGCTCCAGTGCTATCACAACTCCATCAGGACTCTTCCGGACGCGATCAGCAACCTGCAATGCCTCAGCTTCCTGGACCTGAGCAGGAATCAATTGACCGCCCTGCCCAGGGAATTATGTCAGCTTCCGATCGAGGTAAGCCGTAATAATCGAAAGAACCTAAGCAAACAATATTTGTTTCCCATTCTGAACGTGAATTAGCGCGAAAGAAAATCAAAATTTATTTCTTCGCAGTGACGAAAACTCACAAGCGTATATTTGGTTGAATATTCTTGATAAGATTTCCTTTTTTTATTAGTTTTGCTTAGTTCGGTTTTTTTTTGCTGAAATATTGATCCAGGGAGCGAATGGAAGAATTAATATTCCAACAAAAAAGCTAGGTTCAATTTTTGTTTTGCCGAAATAATTAACATAAATAAGGATTGCACTTTTGGTTTTTTACATGCCTTTATGAAAATAGAATACATTTGTATTATTTCCATTTTGAAGGCAAAAATTGAAGTCGAAAATAAAAATTTTCCCTTGGAAATCTGTTATTTTCATATTACGAAATTTTAATGACATTGCTTTGGTTTTTAAATATTTTTTTTGAATATAAAAACACAACAATTTTTCCGAGAAATATAAATTAAAACAAAATTTTCCTTTCTGTTCTTCTTATCATTAACCGAAAGGAAATAATATCTTTATGGATGTATTTCGTGCAAAGAAAATTTATTACTTAACCTATCAAAGTGTTTTTGTTTGAGTCCATACGATTTTGGATTTTGCATTTTTTGTGTGTGGCCGACATCCTGGCGTTCCTCTGCGACCTCGTGATCTATCACTTCCTAGTATTCACTTCCCCATCAAATACAACCCTCGTAGAAAGTCCGCTGTACTGTGAGAGGTTATTTTGTTCAGATCATCAACCTCACTTTGCCTCTCCCTTCAGAGGGAGAGGGGTGGTAGCCCCAGTAGGGTTTACATGACCGCTGTAGGCTTAGTGCTGATGGCACTAATAATCCCCTGCCTCTGCAACCTAGCAATTTTCGCCTGGGCGATCTCTTCGCTCATCTCTATGTGACAGTTTCACTTTGGTGTTTTATCTAAATTGACTTCTAGATATTTCGTTTCCGTTGATAATTTTATAGTATCACCCACTACCATTTTCCGAGTATTTGTGGTTATGCTTTTCTTCCGGCACCAGTTGTATATTGTATCCAGGATTGCTTGAAGCAATCCCATTTTTACAATTACCACTTTCACCTCCTCCCGTAGTGGGTGTCGTGATCGTTCAGTTTTTCAACATACTCCGTATCCATTTGCATAAAAATAGACTCAATCCAGTGGACTTCTGCAGCCTCAGAGCGATTCCGCCAGTGCAGTGTTAAATGCTCCTTCTATATCAAGGAACACGCAGCTAATGCGGTCTGTTTGTTCTGCAGAGATTCTTCAAGTTAATTGTGTCGAAAAATTCCTTACCAGAACCTCACCTCTTTATTCTCGCCTCTAGGATTTTCTCCAGGCTTTTCTACCGAAAATTCAGTCTAAAGGGTCGGTACCATTTTGGGTCTGGACTTTCTCAATCCAACTTTCTTTTGCTTGCATTTTTTGTCTCAGTGTTATTTTTTTTAATTATGGAAGTGTTTTTGTTTGAGGTCATATATCGTTGGTCCAAATAATAAATAAATTTCATTAGGCGGGTTATTTTTTCTTTTAATGCAACTGATTTAGATTATTCTAAGTCCGGAAAATGAAAACGATGTATTTCAGCAAGAAAATTTTCATTTTTATATGTTTGGCTAAACGAAATTTTTCCCAAAATCTCACCAAAATAGAAATAAATCTTGACTGTCTTAATTTCCTCTCCTGATCTTTAATGCCTGTCCGTCTTGGTTATAGGCATTTAGAATGTGATATCTGCCTTGATATTATCGTTTCATACGGAACCATTTCAGATTTTGCTGGTGGCGAACAATAGGCTGTCGTCGTTGCCGGACGAACTGTACAAAATGTCCCAGCTGACGGAGCTGGACGCCTCATGCAATCAGATCACTCATTTTCCGCCGCGCATGGGCGAACTCAAGTCGCTCCAGTCTCTCGTGCTCCGGAACAACCTCCTACTGGCCGTGCCGGTCGAGATCACGTCACTGAGACTCGTGAGACTGGACTTGAGAGCCAATAGAATCAGCACTCTGCCGATAGAGATAAGGGGCATTACGACCGTTATCGATTTGATGCTGGACGAGAATCCGCTCACGAGTCCACCGGCCAGTGTGAGTCGAAATTCTAATTGAAAGGTGGCACCAACAGAAATGTCATAGTTTTCTTCTGAAACTAACAAATTAAGTACTTGTACAAACTTTAAACGGTGAACCTTTGAAAAAATTTTAAGATAAAATGTTCATATGAACGTGGATCCTCAAAGGCTGCATCCAAAAAAACTATTTTACCCGATTTTTTTTTGTTATAATTTTCTTCAGTAACACGGAAATTAGATGAAATTCGAGGTACTGGATACATTGACGCCGAGAAGCTGAGATATTATATTAACTTGTTTTTTGTTTAATTTGCATTTTTGACTAAGCATACCAATTTGCTATTCAATTTTACATACAAAAGGTACTCTTAGTATTTGTCACTAAAATGGACCGAATTTTTAAAAAATTAACGAAAAGAACACTTCCTTAAAGTCATGTGATATGCTGTGCTGTGACATGTGGATACCACTATCACCAAACTTAATGGACACTGGATAAAAATAATTCATTGAATTCATTCAATTAAAAAAAAAGATACATTTTTTCGCCTCGCAAAACTCGCTTACTTCAAACCAGTGTTTATTCAAAATGTTTGTTAATGGTTAATGAAATAAACGAACAATATCGTATGTTGCGTCTTCTAATATAATAATATAAAACTAAAAACTAAGTTAATATTTCAATTTGTCGTCATCAACATCTCCATCAGTATCTCCAATTTCCTCTAATTGCCATGTTACTGAACAAAAATATAATCAAAAAACCAAATAAATCAGTTTTTTTGGACGTCGTCAAGAAGCGGGTCCATATATAAATTTTTATTTTAAAATTAGTCAAAGATTTGTCCCTTAAAGTTTGTATAAGTACTTAACACCCACATATCAACTATTAATATATATTAATATAACTTTAATTTTAATATCTTTGTTATGCTTGTTTTATTAGCTTTTCAGAAATTTATAACGCATAAGAGCTATTTCAAATACAGAGCATATATTTTAATATTATTTCTTCTTTCTTTTTAATATTATTACTTCTTTTATTGTCAAAGAGTCTTGACCTTTCGTTTTTCATTAAAAGAACACACAAATTTAGTTTATATTCAACATTTGCGAATTTCAGAATAAAACTGACTACGCCACTGGAAACCCCCTATACAGACCATTTCTTACCCTTTTCATAGATTTACGCATAACGGAGGGTGTCTAAAAATGTAAAATTTCTGAAATCACTCTGTATTTAAAAATCCAAGATAGCTTTGAAATTTCTGTTTGTACCACCTCTCATTTCATAGAAAAGTAGCCTTGGGCGACGAAAGGCGCAACAGACTAGCTTTTTGGATAAGGGAAATATGCCGTAAAAGCATAAAAACAGGACACACTGTACATATTGTGTTTAAAGAACCATAATCAGCGCAATTGTACACTAAGTGCGTGCCCATTTGGAGTTTTCTTATGGGAAACTTTGTTATTATCCCCCTACTTTTTTGAGACTTGAAAAACGATATAATCCGATTTTGAAATAGCTCCTGTATTTTCGATGCTACAAGGAAAATTTACTTTAGAATTTAACATAAACTGTTTAACAGAAATGCAATGGCATATTTGCAATTTTTTTTTCCTTTTTCAGGACCGTCACAAAAGTCACAATGTTAAAAAAAGATTTAATTTTTTTTGTATACTTTATATCGCTTTTATTTACTTTCATGATTCAGTTAAAATTTTATTTTTTCGAAGCTTTAACTGCCAGAAATACAGGCTAGGTGGTGTAATGGAAAAGGCGAAAAATGATGGGTCCTTGTCCGATGTCATATTTAAATATTAATAAAAATAAATGATTGTAACAAGAGTTATCCGTGTTTAGTAGGTCTTAATTGGTACACCCTGTATTATCTTTTAGATTTTTGCTAATAGGGTCCTGTTTTTTTACTATTTTATGTTGTCCTTATAAAATCAATTATGTTTTACGGCCGTCATTTTGAATGCCCACTTTAGGATTTTAAGGTTTTTACGTAATATAATATAATTTATAGAAAATAATAATTTTGTATAAAAAGCAATAAAGAAGTGTCTACAAAATCAAAATATCTTTCACACTAACAAATGTATGGTAAATTTTCATTCTCCAATGTTCCCCCATAACTCAAAAAAAAGTAGGCCAGTAATGTGCAAATCACATCTTGTTACCTCTACCTAGCCGTATTGAAAGCTCTAGAAATTGTTTAACTATAAATAAAATTATCGGACTACACCGGCTATATCATCTAGAATATCGATATATTTGTGGACCTTGCGGCCTTTCCTTTTCAAGATTATTATCTTGTTCGGTTTCAGCTGTGTAAACGGGGTCGCGTGCACATTTTCAAGTATTTAGACATGGAGGCGATGAAGATCGAGAAGAAAACGGGGGGCGGGACCGGAACGCTGGGACGCAGGTCGAGAAAGAGCGGATCCGGCTCGCCCGGCCCGCCCCACTTGGTCAACAGATTGAAAAATAAACGCCACAACGTAGATAGCGGTTACAGTACGAGCAGCGATTGCTGCGAAAAACGATGGTCGCAGGAAATAGCGGGTTGGTATTTAAAGTCCATATTGTTTCTTTTCTGAATCTGCGTCTTCAGTTTGGACCAATTAAACTTTGAAATACATTTACGTTTTGCTGAGTTAAATTCTGCAAATAGGCAAACTAGAAGTTATTTTACTTACAAATCCTCTGATGAATCGAACTTGCTGACGTTTCGCCTGTTGGCTTCTTCAGTTTACAGAAAACCTACGCCATAGACATGCATTGTCACATCACCCTTTGACCCAGAAGTCTTCGGGTATCAACTCCTTTGTTTACAGAGCGTTAAAGCTATCCCAACCCGAATCACTGGACCCAGAATTAAAACACTTATCCACATTAGAAATATTAAGCGTTCCATCACAAAATACATTTCACCACAAATTTTACTGACCATATATCAAAAGTTCTTAAGAAATATAATGTTGAAACCAGATGTACTTGTGCAAAAATCTCTCAACATCTTCGATCCATCAAAAAGAAAATTTCATGCATATGTGGGCAGGAGCACATTGGAGAGACAGGGCGAAAGGTCAACCAGATTAATAGATTATGAAAGAGCCTTAAGTCTGGAAACCGGACATCAAATCCTATTCGACGAAACTAAAATTCTCTCATGGAATCAATTATTTTACCAAACAACAATCCTAGAATGCATAGAAATATCTAAACAATCTTTCACCAATATGGGAATCGGTCATCCGAGACATTGTTCATGTCCCTCATTTAGCCCCGCCTTCTTTAAACATAATAAGATCCGGTACAGGTAAGTTCTGAAGAAGCCAACGGGATCGTTATTACAGCAGCCTGTTGAAGTTTCTTAGTTCGCGAATTTATTCTCTGATGGTGGCGCTGGTGACAATAAACAAAAGTGGCCGTGAGGAAGTATTTTCCAATGTTTAATTACAAGTTATTAATTATAATTATAAATATTTCTCTACACAGAAGTGTTATGTCAAATTTTCTTGAAACCGTTCTTTCTTCCAACTAGTTACAAAATAATTGTTTTGTTAGTTTCTTGGACCCTCCAAACGCAGCAAACTTTCGAACTTTTCGATGGTGGCGCTGCTGATAGTAAGCAAATGTGGACGTAAAGAAGTATTTCATAAAATGTTTTATGTTTGAACCTTTCGCCGCTTATTTTACCTATAACAAATCATTATTCGTATTTTGTGGTGGTGTGTGTGATTCGTGGTGAGTGGTGGGAAATAAAAAACATTTTCTATGAAATTAAAGACCTATTAAATATTGCAGAATTGCGAAGTATCCATATATCGCGTTGCGGCAAGGTGGTTTATCTGGAAGTTACTCGTATATTATTACAGTTATTCTAAAGTGTGCTAGGTAGGGTTACATCGAATGCTATTATGAGGTAAATTGTTATTTAATAATGTTTCTTAAGTGACACTTCTACTCACTATTTTTTAAAGCAATATTAACAAACACCATACAACTTAAAAATGTAATATAAGTATAATATAAAAACAACGCAACCATTGCAAATTTTATTTCCCAGTTAGATTGACATTTCTTCCGCCGGGGGTCTCAATGAATTGTAAAATTGCCAAACATTAATTTTTACTTATTACTATACTATCTACGAGCCGAATTATATTTACCTCCTTGTCTAACCTTTTGACACTTTCAATTTCCTCGCCGCCTTGCGTTCTCTTTTGAGCAGTGACGATTTTTCTTTTTTTTTCTGATTTTTACTGAATTATTTTGCAAGTATATGGGACATTGTGATATTCCCAAAAAAATATAGGAAAGTGGCAAGTTAAGCAATCGCAATCGCGATTGATAGCCTACGAAAAACACATTTTAATTACTTCAAGTTTATTAAAATGCGTAAAGGCTTTTACACCCTTGCAGAGCCAGAGCGATCGGAATTAAATAAAAATAATTACTTACTTTAATATGACTAATATTAGAGAAATTTGTAGAAACCTAGTTACAAAATTGAAGATTTTTTTTTTCAAATTTCTAGCACCACCCGTTTGCCTAATACCTTACCTCTTGGCCCTTATTGGGACATCCGTTATATATAATTTTTGTGGAAAGACAATTAAAAGTTTATTTGTCCAGACTTTAGCAAAAGAACCAAAATATTTAAAACTTTTTTTTAGCTGGCAAAAAATTGTATTTTGTTTTTGTTACGTGTAAATTTTGCTTGCAAGTTTATTTTTTCCTAGCGGCGCAAATTCCCATATATGATGGTGGGATCTGGTCAGTTGTAGGCGCGTCTCTCGGAATTTCAATAAGAATGGAGCCATAGACGGGGCCCCACCGCGCTTTTTGTGTAAAAGAATTTTATGGAAACAATCATGCTTACGCCCAAGTTCATCATCTTTACCGTGTACATTTTAACTTACACTACATAAATCAAGCTTCGACGCGCCCTTTAATTAGATGTTAGGTTGCAAAGTTTGAAGCAGAGGGCCCAACCCCAAGTAACAACCATATCGACCTTCCCAGAGCCAGTAGAGGGAAAGCATCAAGCGTGCAGCAGTAAAGCGAACTCCTCATCGATCAATAAGAAAACAAAATTACACGATCTTACAGAAGGACTTAAACTTTCATCCTTACAAAATTCAAATTGTGGAAGCAATAAAGTAGAAGATTATCCAACTAGTATCCTATGTGTCCAGCATATTGCGGCATCCTTTGCGCTCTGAAGGTGGATGGTCAGAATGAGCACAAACTCTGCTAAACCCTGCCAATTTTGTCAATTTGAAAATTCATACCAAATATAGTACCAGGACAAGCTAGGTCTCTCAAAATTTTGGCGAGGTACAATTTACAGAAAAAGAAAAAAACTAGACCCCAACTACGGCTACCCCAATCTACACTATATCTTACTATTACTGGGCGCCGTGCAAAGTATAAAATTTATTTAAAGTTAATAAAGATTCCCTACCAAGATAAGATGAGTGGGCCCCAAGAGTCTAGCTAGCTAAATATCCCGGCTACGATCGATCGTTTACATTATCAGTTCATAATATACATATAACTATGGATCGACTTAACTGAGCTCAAATATGCACATTATCAAAATAATAAAACTGAAATCTCTAAATTTTAACAGGTTGCTCACATAACTTTAAATATGTATATATGTATGTATGTATAACACTTGACCGTTAAATATTAAACAGTCAAATCAGTGTTTTCAACTCGGCCTCAACTCTGCAGTGGCAGACAAAGGGCTGCTACACTCCCTGTGTGGTCGCAGACTAGTGCTAGCAACTACGGGCTTGAACTTACGCTGAATTTTGAGATGGCAGACCCGATGGCAACAACTTTAAAGGACGTGGCCTCCAATGCTTCAGAATTTCAGCCATGAGTGGCCAAATAAAAAACCCACAACCCATCCCAAACCTAAACCATACAAAACAAAGTGATAAAATAGCGCTCACAAATGCTTGCAATAACCGAATGCACCTGTTAATTGTGGGTGGCGGTAAAGAATGCGGAGTGCTATGACGGTTCACTCTTTGATCCAGTAAAAATTGTTTTGTTGCAAGCATCCAACCAAAATTATATACGCAAGATTGAAACCTGACGAATTGCCCCTTCAGGAAATAATATTTTCCGAACCAAAAATAAGTTCCACAGAAATTCTAAAGAACATATGATGTTGGGGTTGCGACAGACCGGGTTCAACATTACTAAAGCTACTAGACCAACATATCAGGTGACATATATAGAACAATAACTAACCAATGTGACCAATTACCATAAAACTAAATAAAATGCAACTTCTCCTGTTTGCTTACATTTATTTTTAGGTCAGCGACACGACACAACTAGCAGTACAGATGGTTCAAGCAACCAATCCAATGGAACATTAATTCTACAACACCATTGGTCTTTTAAGAATTGACAGAGTATATTTGACAAATCATTGGAGAAATAGCCAACGGCAATTCACTAGGCTACAGAACTTCGACAATTTCGATAACATTTTCTTTAGTCTAATTGTCATGGTGCCCTAAATAAACAGAACTGCTGATATTGTGATAACAACTAAAGAAAAATCATCAGCGCCCTCTACATCGCTTTTTTTTTGAAGATGAAAATCAATGCACTGCCACCGTTAACTCATATCGTTCTAAGGCAATGCTGGAAAATGTTCTTGAATGAGAACTGCAAAATTTTGGTAGCTTCACCCGAGACACTTGGTTTCATCAGGGTGGGAAAAGTGATCAAACTGTGAATCTTATCATGCAAACCGTTCGAAATATGTTAATAACAATTATCCTCTCAGCAGTCCCGATTTAACTTTCATGTTTTTTTTATGTGGTGATTCCTTAAATCAAAGGCCTACACGGACAACCTCCTGCCAGTCTAAATCGCGCCTCTCTACGGCATGAAGTTACACATTAATTTTTTGCAAAATAATTAAACTGAATGATCATTTTTTTAAGTGGTAAAAACCTTTTCGGACATCCTGTACCACATTGAAGGTGAGCGATCGTAAAAAATAATTGATGCGACGTTTTTGACAGTTGACGACAAAAATTGGCCTTCGACGCCCGTCCTGGGGCGGTCGTCTGATCAGGGTGGAACCGTCTCGACGATATCGACACCCTCGACTATATCACCAGCTCCACCGGACGGGGCAGACGAAGATCTCTCCAAGAGTAGCGGGTTTTCCAACGACAACGACCGGTCCGATGCCGTGAAAGAACTCGTCAGGTTAGTTTACCGCGCACAGGACGCACAGTGTTAAGATATTGCTAATTTTTGGGGACAAAATTATTTTTTTTGATTTTATCAGTGATAAAATTGTATTAAATAACAAAAGGAAGATATAACTTAAGCGTGGGCAAATTTGAGGTTAAGGAATAAATTGGTTTAAAAAACACACTTTTTTGCGCCGAAGTCATGTTCATTATATGATTTCCACCTCTCGCGCTCAACGGCCGTCCATTCTTTTCGCAAAATTTTAAACCACATTTTGCAATAAAGCGTCGTTTACGTAAACCCAGCTCTTCCAAATAGCTGCAGGGAAAATAGTCCATCGGCGTCAAATCACAAGAACGAGACGGCTAATTGTATGATGGTGCGGTGTTGATGTCAACATTAGCTAATTGCAGCAGCAAAAAATCGGTTGCCCAGAGAATGCACGGTAACTACGTTTCCTTGCTCAATTTAAAAAAAAATAGGGGCCTATGACGCCGTCTGATCACCATAAAGTCGCTTTCTATGGATTCAAGTGTTTTTAGAGGACTGTTGGTGGAATTTGTAAACTTCGCATTCGACAATTTTGTTTGTTTTCATAGCCGCCTAATTGAAAATGGGTTTCATCATTGATGATTACCCGAGAAAGTTGCTCGAATTTTGCTAAGTGACGCAATACCATTTTCACCATTTTCAATGTCTATTTTTACAGTTTAAATTCGTTATCAAATGTCAATTTCATTGTGATTTGACATTCTCTTTCTGTTTAACATCTGTGTTAATTAAGTGGCGCACAACAATGTTAATTTGATTAATCCACAAGTAGTAAAGGTGAGTCCACTTTACAACTCATTTCAAATCGAAGTTTTCGGTTGTATACAGAGAACTTTATATGTGTATGCCAATTTAAAATTAACATCTATGAAAAAATGATTTTTTTTATTTAGTATATATTCATTAATAACTTAATCAAATATTTAAATTTTTGAAAAGCAAAATGTAAGTTTTAGGCGTGGTATGTCATTGAAATCCAAAGTAGTCCACAGTCCGCAAAATCGAACATCTTTTAGCCTACTAATATTTATTGTTATATCATTCAATTTTTTACATACAACAATAAAATATCTATCTTGTGAAAAAACTGGTTAAGAAATAAAAAAAAGAGCCCTTGAGGCTATTGTTATTTTTTCCACAAAAACACATTTCGTCTTAATTTAAAGTAAAAAAATCATCTTTTTCCTTTATAAGTAATATTTAATAACATTTTGGTGAGAAAATCTTTTTTTACGCATTTAAATTTAAAGCATTCCAAAAAGAGTGTCATAAAAAAATTACCTATATATTTCGTCTTACAGATATTGTAATTCGCTCAAATGTGATTCTGCTTTGATAAGCGTCTGTTCCAAAAATCTTCATTTTTAACTTTGAATGCGATTGTTTATGATATCTAGTTTGGATAAGCGGTGGTATAACACACACATACAAGTATATTCTACTAACTCAACAACAAGACTTGACCCTTTTTGTAAAGATTAGATAAGATTATATTTAAAAAAATTAGAAAAATGTCTTGCACTACGCTAAAGGCGTTTACTTTAAAGTAAAGTACTTTAGTAAAAAAGAAGGAAGAAAATAAAACAATGCAAATATTTACAAAAAAAAGTAGTAAAGTCAAATAACAACCTGATGCTAAATAACTTTTATGAAATTCACTTGGCTCATACAAAGAGTCTTAGGACTGTTTAAGTTCTTGCGATAACACACAACACAAGTATAATTTAAAATAATTTTCTTGAGGAAACGCACATAAACGCAGCTGAATTTATACGATAACCAGCAAAAGTCTAGGCAGATTAACAGTTTCTTTAAAAATGTTTTTATAAAATATTATATTATAATTATTTATATATTATCTAAAAGCAATAAAATTAAGTAATTAGAAAAATTCGACATAATAATTATTTAATAATAAAAAACAAAAATCATTTTTCTAAAAACTACTAAATTATCACAAATTATATAAAAAAAATGTAAGCACTTTTAACAGCAAAATTTTATTTACAGTCATATAAGCTGTTGTCCTTTTTAATCGCTTAAGTACGTTTTGACTAAAAAAAAAAACGTGGGATCTAAAATGTCAAATTAGTAGTTTTGCAGTTGTAGTGTAATAGATGTGTTTTTATTATTAAAATAATGAGTGAAAAGGGGTTATTATTAGTTCAAACTGTGTAAAGAAAAAAAGGTAAGAAATATTATCCTGAGATACAAAAATTAAAACAGAATGGAAAATAAGGCTCGGTCTAAGCGTCCTCGACAACTAAGTATTAGAGAAATTAGAAAAATGAGAAGGGTAGTTAATTAAGGGCACCTTAAATTACTGCAGAAATAGGAAATCTGTATAAAAAAGCTGCACAGCTAGAAAAGAAAATGTATAGACGGAAAAGAATTAATTTTGCAAAACAATACAGAAGTGGACAGCATGGATTTCTGGAATAAAGTAATATTCACTGACTAAAGCAAGTTTGACGTGCTCGTATTTTAATATTGGGGCACCAGGTGTTGCTAAATTAGTGATAATTGGATGAAGAATGGATAACAATGTTAACCTAAATATTGTTACTGCGGGTAGATTTTTGCTGGCTCCTGTATATAGAAAGCATGTGTGTTTAAAACTAAAAATATATATTTCGTGATTGCGATTGAAAAAACTTGCAAGCACTGTCTAAAGTTACATTATTATCATGTCAAAATATTTCAATATTTGATATTGTCAATTGTCACACCCTGATTTGGGTCATCTATACCACTTTAATGAATCTAATACTTGCATGCTACTTATGACACAACCAGGGAGTAGATAAGCTGTAAATAAAAGCGGCAGACCCATCTTTTCAAGTAATTTTCACCAATTAGAATTGGACAGGAATTCTATAATCTTTAAATTTTTTCATGTTATTCATAAAAGTTAAAAAAAATAGATTCAACTAGTTGAATTTTTGAATTTTCTCCCCATTGATTAGCAAATTCTTGCGTTATGCGACGTCCACGTGGTGGCCCTTATTCTAAAACCCTACTATTATTATTATAGGATGAAGATTTTACGATTTTTTTATGCATCTTGCCGCTACTCAACTACCTGTCAAATATTTCGGTTTATTCCATATAGTCGATAAAATTATTTAATGAGGTTAGGTAATCGGTTTTCCGTTTGTTTGTCGGCTTTCGTGTAAAACTTAACCTGTTTGAGTGTGATTTTTCAGTGTTCGTCTTAGTCCTTGTCCGAATAACGTTTCTATTGGCGACGGCACCGAGGATAAACCGAAAATTTTCCAGCAGATCCAAACTTACAGGTAAATCGATTAGGTGTTGTAGTCTGTTTCCCCGGAGCGTAGAGTAATAAAATCCTGAAGTTGCAAGTGGTGCGAATTTCATAGTTTGTCCCACTCTTTTTATTGAAATTTCTCTTCTATTTATCAAGTGTCAGCAGTACTACCAGTACTTTATTTAGGAGAAAACTACAACCAACTCAATGTAAATCTAAATGACTGGAAGTTTTTTTTTTACTAAAGGTTTAAAATTTAAATCCATACACACTGCTTCCGCTCGCCTATAGGTCAAACTGTGACGTCAGTTGTTAGATATTTCCGTTTTATTACATTAGTTTGGTGACATCAATCAATAGTCAAGGTAAATCCTTGGCCTATAGTGGGGAGTATTTTATCGCGAGCAGTTATAACAACTTGTAACATAAACGGGATTTAAAGTTCTAATTGGGACAACAAATAGTCAATATTTAATTTTTTTGTCCCTTTTAATCGAGGTTTATACCAATTATACATGATATGTCAAAATATTTAGAAATTACGTTAGTGCGGTTAAGTTTCTAGAAATGCGTTTCTAAAAGAGCACCATGAAATGTTTTTTATTATTATTTCTAAAGCAGTTGACTGAAATTTCGATTACAAATACCTTCGATTGGGCACTAAAATTTACTGCTGAGAAAATTCAAAATAATTTACAATATTTTTTGGTTTTTTGTTCTGAAAAATTAGTATTGCCTGAGTAAATTTTTAATTACACCAGAATTATTTGATAAAATCTCAACTAACTTGTAAAGCAGCAAAGTTTGCCATCCCCCTGTAGCAGCACTCCTGTTCCAAATAAAAACATTACTTACATTTCGTTTTGCTATTATTTGTGTATTGTTTTTGTCAATGATGTATACTTCTGAAAAAGCGAAACAGTTTTTTTGTAACAATGGTGTGGATTTACTTTCATGGCCTTACCTGGGACTTATCTTAAAAATGCAGTTGGTCAGCAAAAACCAAAAATAAGCAAGAACTTTGGGAAATAATTGTAGCAGAATGGAAAACAATACCAGTAGAATGTTGTCAATGGTTTATAAACACTATGACCAGCAGCAAAAAGTCATAAAACTAAGTATTAGGAATTTAACTATGTGTATAGTGTTTGTTTCTTGACGACTTAAATATTTTAATAATAAAAATTTTAGTTTAGATTTGTTATTATTTTTTTCCGTTAATAATTAGATCTTTGTAATAAAATTTGTTTTATAACTTAAATGTGAGACAAAATGTTCGTTGAATTACAAGGTGGTGTTTAGTGGAAGAAAAATAAATTGGACATCTGTTTAGTGCAAATTTGGAATGCAACAACTTTGCTTTCTCTCCCTTCATCTTGGAAATAAAATCTCCAATCACCCATTGTAAGCTTTGAAGTTAGTTAGTCCTAGGTTCTGTGCGCTTTTGCTTGAATTATTGGCCTCGATGGTGAACTTCCCAACGTAACTTCTTGTTTTGAACATTGCAAAACCGATTAAAAATAGTCCCAATGCTCTAGTGCTTTTTGTGGTCATACTCAAGATATTAATTTAACCGACAAGAATTCAAAATGCAGCTAAATATAAACTGTAATTAGGATAAAGTATTTTTAGTATAAGAAGTGTTGGCCCAATAAAAAGAAGTTATGTCATTTACATCTGGTAGGCCAGCTGATTGGGATATTCGGTATTCCCTAACACTTTATTGCTCTTTGTTCAAGATGGTCTTTATACACAGGTCAAAAAGAATGGATTTTCTATTTTTTTAAGTTGGGGAACCTAAAAACGGTTGTCATCTACGAGCGATGGTTTTATGAAAGTGGTTGCTGTATTATGAGAGACTTCGTCTCAAGAGTCAATAAAGATTTTCAAAAGCATGGGTGCTTTTAGTAAAAACCAGGAGATATTTAAGAGATGATTATTTCGAATACCTAACTACTACTGTTTCCGTAATAGTAACATAAAATCCATTTTTTAAAGTATTTTCGGCGCACACATTTTTTAACTAAGCTAACGTTATTTTTAAAATATTCTAGTCACCGTATAAATTGTCGAAACGTTTTGTAAAACGCTCTGTATCGTAAAGTATGCGAGATTTTATTACTCTATACATCGGGATTGTAATTTCTGTCCTCGACGTACAGCTTGGACGAGGGAATTGGAAATTGTCGATGAGGAGAAACACGAACCCATCCTTAAATTTACACGCTGTCGTATTTTTTTTTTTAAATTAAGAATTTGATCAAAAATGTTAATTGACGACAATTGTTTCTATGTGGAGGAGACATTTTCCTTCGTCCCTCGGTCTATATCGGTTCCGTCGCATTGTGGGTAAATCTTTCAATTTAGCATCCAAAAAATGCAAATATTTTAAATTCATGAAATGCATGTATCAAACATTTTTACTTGTTTAGAAATCATCCTCGAAATTGCTGTTGATTAAGCTGTAATGTTTTTTTTATATGTTCAGTGATATATTTTTGAATTTCCTGGAATGCGCTTTTTTTAAATGTATTAAGGTGTTTTATGGTGATTATTTCATAGTGGGAAACAATATGGTTTGTATGTGAAGCAAAAACTTGTGAAGGTTAGGAATACAATTGCATTCTATATTTATATTTATAATTAAAAATATAGAGAGATGGTTTATAAGTAAAAAAAAAATATTACTTTGTATATGGGTTTGGGTGTACAAGAATTGTAATGTAATAATTTCACTATTATTATTTTAAATATTGAACCTATTTCAACAGGTTTCTACACAAAAATATTTCAATATATTATCAGAGAATTTGAAAATATCTATTTAAATCTGACAAAAACTGAACCTTTTAAATTTTAGATGCTAAATTAAGATATTTTCTCACAGTGCGTCACCCAGTGGTGAGTTCTAATGTGTGTTCGCGGCCAAAATTGATGTAAAAATTAATGGTAAAAGAATTATTGGATCAAAAAAAACTTCAATTTCAGAAGTTTTTTTAAGGTAAGTAAATATTTTTATAAACTCAGTAAAATGACACCGAAGTTTTTCTCCAATTGTCGTTTTAAAATTTAACCACCAGTTTTCATAAACATTTACTATCTGTCTGAGTTTGTCAATTCAAAGGATATGAATTTTTAAAACAGGCCGCGCATGTTCATAATATATTGTCATTTGTTTTTTGTAAGCGTCAGCTTATTTGAAGTGTGTTGAAAGTGTCTTATCGAATCAAAAACTAATATTAAACAATGCTAAAGGTCAGTAGTCAGCAGTCATAAATATTGTTAGCGAGTTAAGAGGTGATCAGCAGTGACTTTTATATCATTTATGTCATATTTATCTCAGGTTAAAACTAAGTGGAATCTAAATTGAAATAATCTTGCATTTTCTCAGATACTAGATGTTCCTCTATAAGTGCTTCATATATAAAAACTTCAAATAAAGACCTCAAGTCATATAGAAAACTCATCAATACAAGTTAAAAACATACATACATGAACAACAATTATACAAGAATCGTATGGATTAGCGATTTACTGTTAGTCATCTATTTACAAATGGAGAAATTGACAAAAATCACTTACATATAACAAATAATTATTAACAAATAATTATCAAGCGTTACCAAGGCGTCGATGATCAGAGCAAAGTGAGAGCAGAATATCTAGCTGATGAGGGTAGGCCGGGCCGGCAGAAAAATTTCTCAAAGAATCGAAGAACACAACCATCAATTCTTCAAAGACAACAATACCGATTTAACAGTCAAATTTTGCCAATCAGAGAACCAATCATTCCCATCGGAGGATGCAATATTATTGGTGCTGTACACGTGTCAAAGCAGTAATGTTGATCTCTTAGAAACGTTTGAAATCAATAGAGGGCTGAAAAATCCAAATGCATTAATCACCAGTCACCGTTTAACTCTCATTTCATTTTTAATTGTTTGAAAGAACCGTGGACTTTACCCTCCAAACCATATGATACCATTTTCTGGTGTCTTGTCACTTCGCTCTTATCATACACGCCTTGGCAGTCGCGACATATTTTAAATTAATTAAATTTCGTGTCTTCCTCGAGCTCTCTGTCTCTCCAATTCTTTCGTGGTCTGCGTGCCCTTCCTGTAACCAAACCAGTGCTTGTTTTGGAAGTCTTCGGAAAGGCACCCCCTGTACATGTCCAGCTATAGCAGTTGTTTGTTTCGAATGTCTTTTATAATTGTGTGTGTGTAATCTTCCTATGGTTATTCTTTCTCTCTCTTCGAGAAATCCCCGCTGACTGCCTCTAGAAGGTCGTTCTGCTATTTTTCAAATAGATGTTTCTAATTATTCAAAGAAACTTTCACAGGCTATTTATTGTAATCTTGCGTTTCCTCAATCACCCTGTTAGCTTCTTCGGACTTAAACTGAAACTGACTCGCATCCTGCTCTGTACATGCTTATATACAATTTGCGAGGGGGTGGAGCTAAAGGAGGAGCATAAACATTGTCTCAGATGACTGATTTCCATATTGGACCTGAGTCGCGGTTAAGATTGTTTTGTTACTTATAGATTTCTATGGATTCTCTGATTTGATATCCGGTTTCGTGATTGTGTGTGGCAACTGCTGAAGTTTATTTGTCTTACGACTGTTTTAGCCTATTTGATATTTTTCGTCCTTTTTATCCACTGTACGAGAGTCATTTGAAAAAGTTTCCCACCTCACTCTGAAGATGGAGGTACTAATTAATAAAAGCTAGTGATCGTAGTTGTCCACCTCTTGTAGTTACTCACCAAAGTTTTAGAGATTTCGGACGCATGATTTTTAGTTGAGAATCGTTTGAGCGTGTCGATTGGGGACTCTGCGCCATCATTTATCACAGTTAAATTTTGGGCAGCTATATTTAAACGTGGTCGTAAGAGCTTACAAGATGGCGAATGTTCGAGATGTCCAAAAACTGTAACTCCGGACGATACTATTGCTAAAGTTCATCGGTGTTAAACGACCGTCGAATTAAAGTGAGAGAGATAACAGAGGTCATGAAAATGTCCATTTGTCACATTTTAAATTGGTTTGGTGCTGCGTTTACTCGTCGTAGACCAAAGATGTGTTGGAATGAACGTTTTTAACGCTCGGTTGGTGTTGTTTAGGTCCAATAAATGTGAGTTTTAGCGCCGATTAATTACTGTTGATGAAACTTGGATACACCATTATACGCCCGACTGAAAAATACTGTCAAAACAGTTGACTGCGGGGAGGAACCGACTTCGAAAAAAGCGAGAATGTGATGGTGACTGTTTTTTTGGGATAGTTTGTGTTTAGTGTTCTTTTTTTTTAATTTTCCAAAACAAATCTATAATTTATTTATTGACCGCGAGTTCAACACCAAGAAGTTATTCTTTTACTTTTCCTTCGCGGAATTAAATTATTGAGCTTACCTGGTCAGCTGTACCAGCTGGTTCAAATGCTGTTTGTAAATGAAAGTTTGATTATTATATATTATGTATTTCTTGTATCATTGTTGGGTCGGAAAATTTTCAAGTCACCCTTGTATTCTTGACCGCCTTTGTATAGAATGCTGTAAAACTCATGGCATCTCAAACGAATTTTTATTTTTTAGGATCGAAGATGTTTTATTACCCACCAAAGAAAACCGTGACTCAGGTCTATACTTTTTACCAATATGGTAAACAATCATCCGATACTATATTCGTGTCCATCCTGTAGCTCCGTCCCCTCTGAAACAGTGCATAAGTAGGTAGAGAGTAGAATACGAGTCAGTTTCAGTTACGCGCTGAAGAAGCCAACCGGTTGATCAGTGAAACATCAGCAAGAACATTTGTAAATAGTAGATGTCTCTAACTGTAAATCGTTAATCTCGACGATTCTTTTATTGTTGTTGTTTATGTGTGTGACCGCTTTTTAATTTCTATTGATGATTTTTCTATATAAATAATAAATAAATAACATTTGAGGTCTGTATTTAAAAGTTTTATAAATATTTTGATGCCATTTTTGGTGAAACATGTCCCTCGTTTTCTAAATTAATTTTGTTTTGACAAACTGTACTACGTTTGTAGCTCTTCTTGCTGTAAAAACTTTTAGTAAAATTCTTTCTAACTTGCATTGGACTTTGATTTAAAACCCGGATTAATAATTTTTGTATTTTGGCCGCACGATCTCAGACGACCTCGCCGCAGTGCGTCGCCGGGCACGTTATCCAATCTCCTTCACCCCCTCGTAACGTTCCAGAGAATACAAAGAAGCCTTAAAGCAGCAACGAGCGCACGACGTGCCTTCCATATACCGTACCAAAGATTCGGACGAGCAAAGCAACAAAACGGAACCGAACACGCCGACGCATCATCACTCGACGCCCGGTCAGACGATGGCCACCTCGAAATCCGATCCGACCCCCTTAAATTCCGCGTTCGGCGGTCCGAAAACCGTTTTCGACGACACCTCGACGACGAAGAAGCCCGTGCAAAAGGTGACGCCCTCTAGGAACACGAGTTTCTCCCCGAACCGCTACGTTAACGGCAACGTCGCAGACAACATGGCCAACGTACACGAATATATAAAGCCCGCGTCGCCCGTAAAAGCGTCCGTGCCGCAAAGCACAGGCGCCCTCTCCAGTTACGTCACTAATTACAAGGAGGCCGCGCGGACTACTTTCGCACCTAAAAGCGTCAACGGCGTCAAATCGGGCAGAAACATCAGCTGGAACAAGGACGTCGCGTCGGACAAGATCTCGTTCACGATGAGGAGGGAGATCGACAAGGCGAGGGAGGAGAGCGACCTCATCAATCAGCTACGAAATGTGAGCATTACCCAACAACCGTGTTGTAGCTCTGACGTCGTTGTGCAAGATCAGGGGCCGAATTAGTTTATTATGTTATCATTGATAAAATCTTGTTAAACAGCAAAAAGAAGATACGAAATATGGATGCCAGTTACCGTGATTGTTGATTAATTAAGATATTGTGGCTTAACACTTGTGTTACTAAAAGTGACTTACAGCAAAGTTACGTCGATGAATATGCAAGTAATAAAGACAAATCTGTTTTACAACGGCTTTCAGAAAAGTAGGTTTTACTGTTCTTACAGTTATGTACAGAGTACTTTATGAAAGTTTGACAATTTAAAATTAATGTCCATGAAAAATCGTTACTGTTGATGCAATGGAAGTTATTTAATACTTTGGCTGAATGAAAATATTGCGTTAAAAACCAATCTACACTTAGTGAGAGCAGTTTAATCCTAAATTGATAAAGGTCCATTACGAAGTGAATAACAAATGAAAATACTCACAAAAATTTATGATAAGTCGGATTCTACAAAAAAATCAAATAACGCTTTTAAAATAATTTTAGTGAAATTTACTTTACTCGCACAGAAAACGCCCCAGGACAAGTTTTTTCTATAATGTTTATTAACACAACACTACTACACAGCTCATTTTTAAAATTGATAAAAAGAAATGGTCAATTGATTACAAATAAACGTAACAATCTGTAAAAAAAAACACAAATTTATAGTCACTAAATATATAACTTTTACTACTGCTAGGAAAAAATTCATAGGCTTTTACAAAAATTTTAATTCAAATAGTAAAACAACATAAGCATTAAACAAGTTGCCAACGGATTACAGACAAACTTAACGATCTTCATAAACACCAATAAATGCACCTACTTTTCACTACTACAAGGAAAAAAATCGTGAGCTTTAAAAGCAATTAAAAAAATATGTTTTTGTTTTTTTTTATTTTGTAAAAATTTTTATTCATATGATAAAACAAATAATCGTACCAATCTGAAAAGAACATAAACAAATTTGTTGTCACTAAATGTACCTACTTTTTACTAGGGCTAGGAAAAAATTCGTGGGCTGTAAACGATCTATAAATAATATATTTTTAATTTATTTTGCAAAAATTTTAATTCATATGGTAAAATATAACCATAAAATCTCAAAAAGGTGCCAAGTGATTAGAAATAATCTTTTATCTGATAATAATCTTATAATTTGACACCTAAATGGAGTGAACGGATTTGGGTCGCTTGTTGCTAACTTAACTTAAATTGAACCAAGACCGACATACATAAGGCACTACTATATTTTCTGAAAAATATCCACTTTTTAAACAATTTCTTTGTGATAAAAATTTTATTGATTACATGGTTAGGATAGAAGTAAAAAATTCGTGAGCATTCCATCTATTTATTTTGCAAATATTTTACTTCAAATTAAACATAACCATAAAATTTAAAAAAAAATGTCAACTGAGTACAAATAATAATAATCAACTGTCTTTTTAAAGAAAAAAACGCCGTATGGTCGCCTGCAGGTTGGCGGTTTATTTAATTGCAATACCGACCAAAATGACAATCACGATTCATTTAAATTGCTTTCATTTCAAAGATGGAATGAGGTGGCAGATATTTGATATTGTTTATTGTCTACTGGGTTTGAAGCAGGTCGGCACATTTTATTATAATTTTGACCGAATTAGTGTTATTTGCGGAAAATGGCACAGAAACAATGTTGTTCAAATCCTTTTAAATTTGTTTAGATTGTGATGTGACGTTCTATTAAATGCAAAACGTCTAATTTGCGCTGTAGAAATCTATAATTCGATACAAATTTTTGCTTTTCAAAACAGTCCTAAGTAAAGCTCTCTTCCAGGATTTTATTTTGTCAATTTCTTCCTCTAGATCCAAAGCTTGAGCGACGATAATTTGTTTGCAGTCAAAAATTGGTTGCTCTATGAAGTCTGGCTAACGTAAAGCACGGTTCTCATTTTAAGGATTATTAACGTATAAATTGATTCTCAACTTTCCTAAAAATAACCCAGATGATAACCAAATGCAGCGGGATAGATAAAGATGTGGTTGTAAGTCACAGAAATGCTGCTCGGGTACTCTTCGAAAATGGCCATTTCAGGGGGATAGAGGGAGACATATCAGAAGCATTAAGTATTAAAAAATTATTACATTTTGAAATAAATATGTAATTTTTATTTTGCATGAACACTATTTTGGAATAATAATGCTATCAAATGGATAGTTATTTCCTGTGTCATTCCATACTATAGGGTGTCAAAGGTTGGTATGGATGGGATAATCAAAAACAGTTTTTTTTCCTTTTTTCCCGAATTATTTTTCTGAATTGATTTACAAAAATCAAATAACATACAGGAAACCTTATCGATAATACTTTTCGCCATTGCTGCTTGGCCTCATTCATACAGTTGCTGCAACACAGAACGAAGATTAATTCTTTGGAACTTTTTGGAAATTGGTTAATTGGGCATATCGGAGCTTAGTAAAATGTTTTTTGGTCGTACCTCATAGAATTTCGTTAACTTGATTCCCAAATTAGGATTTTCCTCCAAAAAACACATAAGCTTCACGTATAGTCATTGACATGTTCCGTTTTTGAAGCTTAGTTTTGTCTTCTTTAGTTTTCACTAAAATAACAAACCCTCTTTCACGGTACCTGGCGACTTATGTCATCCCTGAAGTAAAATTATTTTTCTACTCCCGTCTGTAAAATACCTAGTTACCCACCGATCTAGCGTGCGGGAAGCGTTACTTTACCACGTCAGTTTCGCTTCCCACGGATCCGAGCCACTTCGGACTTTTCAGAGATTTTACCGCACGAGTTTGGGAGCCATCGGATGTTTTCGGAAATATTTGCCACGCTTTAAGTTTTGACGTTTGTCAATTCTGACGGTCATGTCCGTGAATGTATTCGTGTTGCTTTGCGAAAATGTAACCAAAAACTAACGGTCGTAGAAAAAGTATGGTATGCAACACGTTCAGTAAACTCAACTGTCAAATAAACTCGTGAGTCAAATGACGTTTATCGCACTTGTTACGTAATATACTATTTATCTACTTTAGTAAATCTTGGTCTAGTTTAGTTGATTTCCCACAGAATTTTTATTTTGAAGTTGTAAATTCTGGAACTACTTATGACGCTAGTTTTTCATAACTTCTTTTTGTTTTTCTGGACATTTGGGCAAGACATTTTTCAGTTTTCTCAATGTTTTTCCCTAGGGCTTATGGTGTTGTTTCCTTCTTCACTTCTTTCTGTTGATTGATTTTCTTTTCTTTCAACTTTTGACTATAAACCAACCCTTTTCCTACTGATTTCTCGTTCCCCTTTGACTTTTAAAATTGCTAATAAATAAAGCTTCCATCTTTTTGATTTTTTTTCATTAAATAAGTTGTATTTTTTTGGATTTTGTTTCAGCTTTTCTCTGTGAACTTTAGCTCGTTGTCGTTTACTTTCTCTTGTATTCATTTTTTTCTGAAAAAAAGGAGTAAAAAATTAGGCTGGTATGGACGAAAAATATTTAAATAACCGATCTAGTCAACCAGGAAGTATTTTTTGATACAAATATTATCATAAAATGTTTTGTTATGTAGCAGTTATTAAAATATAAACAATGTCCAAATAAATGTTATCACCCCAATTTGAAATGAAAAAAACACACTTTTAAGGATGGATGTACTTACCAGTTTTGTAGCAAATTACAGGAAAAATTACCACTTTTACTTCTAGTTTCGGCACAATTAAATAGGAAACAGAACGACGGATTTTCTTTTTCCACATGCATGAAATTTATATTATTACCTGAAAACAGGACGTAAGCTATATTTTTTTTAAGTGAATATTATACTTAGACAAAAGAAGAATTAGGAGATTACTTCTTCGTGAAATGGGCGAAACTCGCTCGTAGGCTTATTCAGGTTCATAGCAGAACTGGCATGGACCCAAAAAATGTTTGTTTTATTTTATCTTACGCCCCCATCTCGCTTGCAGATAATCGAAACGAGATTGAAAATGGCGCTACCTGAGAACCTGGCGGCGGCCCTCACCGACGGTGTAGTCCTCTGCCATCTGGCGAACCACATCAGGCCACGGTCCGTGGCCAGTATCCACGTGCCGTCCCCCGCTGTAGTAAGTTTCTGCCCAACGGAGGCGTGGTCAAAATCGTGACGTGTTTGTTTCCTTTTCGTTCACAGCCGAAACTGACGATGGCCAGGTGCCGCCGAAACGTGGACAACTTCATCGAGGCGTGCCGGAAGATTGGAGTCGACGAGGTGAGTGTTAGTTTGCGTTTAAAGTAGTCGCGCGAAAGAAGAGAAAATAACCGAGGTTAACGCGCGCGAGTCGATACTACTAGCGGCCTTTACGTCAGACGTGCACGTGATTTTGCCCTTTTTCCTTCAAATCAGTTGCAATGCAATATAATTGGACAAATCGTGATATGTCCATATCCCAAATGCCGAAATTCGATGTCGGACTAGTAAATTTATCCATGTCTTTAATGCGATGGTGCCGATTTAAGTACAAACAAAGAATCTAACCTTCATTTTGTTTGTTATTAGATGTTGTAACATAAATACCATATTTGTCAGTAAAAAATCAATAAATCAAATAATCAAATTTAGTTGACAAGGTAGATTGCAATATTAATGAAAACATCCCCAGAACAGTCATTACAGAATATTTAAGATTATATTCAACTAACAAAAATCAAAGTACAAAGGGTTGGTAGTAAAATCAATAATTTCAACAGGCCTTAACAAAAGTACGTGTGTACCAACCTAAGAAAAAAAAAGATCGAATGTTCGTAACCCGGCCAATTACAAATGTCACCTTAATTTTTGAACACATCTCGTATGTGTACTATCATAGGAACTAATATACTTTATAAGTATTTTTGTCTATTTAATAATATCTCATTAGATATACAAAAGGACAGAGTGACTTTCATTCTTTGGCATTGATTTCGTTACTTTTTTTTTTCTTTTTATCAAATACTTAAACACTTTTTGTTTGGGTTGGCATCAGTTTATGGGTTTTGCCTGTTTTTATTCAACACTGTTAAAGGCGTCCCGATAGGCTACTCGTAAAAAGGAAAGAATTTTATTTTCTCAGCATGAAAATTACTCATTATGTACGGGGTGGGATTATATCTTGTCTCAAAATCTGCAAAATATATCAAAAAATTTAAAGACAAAAAATGTTTGGATTCACTTATATTTTTAAAAGATTATTATGCTGAGCGTGTTTTTTCTTTAAGACATTATACATACATACATGAACTTACAACTAAATATTACCGTTTCTGAATTTTATGTCAAAAATGACACTCCCACTTTGTTATATGTTTGGGGTTGATTTTCTTATAGAAGAAAATCTTCTATACGAAGTGGTATATGTTGATATTTTGAAAATAGATAAATACAGGGCGATCAAAAACTTATATTACAATTTTAAATGAAAAAACGTCATATTTTTATTTAAAATAAAAGGAAAGGAAAAAGGTAGATGCTGCTTTTCCACGAAAATGCATACCCCTTGTATATATAATAATATGTGTTATATTATTTTATTATTATATAAATTATTATATTAATGAATCCAAACAAATTTGGTCTCTTAATTTTTTTTCATCTTTTTGACAGATTCTGAGATTTATCATCCTATAATATTCATATTATTTTTTTTGTATAACTATACATAAAAATTACATTATGCAGAAATTAAATTACAAAAGATCACAATATTCTTCGTCATATGACGAACTGTAATTTTATACTTAAGAGGTCGTCGATGGTACAATCAATATTTATTGAAATAGTGGAATGCTTTTCGCCAGTTCTCTGGCGTCACTTCCTCAGTGCCTTGATCAAACAATAGTTTTGGTTAGTTTTGGTTAGTTTTGGTTAGTTTTTTCATCTTTTTGACAGATTCTGAGATTTATCATCCTATAATATTCATATTATTTTTTTTGTATAACTATACATAAAAATTACATTATGCAGAAATTAAATTACAAAAGATCACAATATTCTTCGTCATATGACGAACTGTAATTTTATACTTAAGAGGTCGTCGATGGTACAATCAATATTTATTGAAATAGTGGAATGCTTTTCGCCAGTTCTCTGGCGTCACTTCCTCAGTGCCTTGATCAAACAATAGTTTAAGTTTTTGGGCGTCGTCTTGCGCCCACATCAGTTCCATTTAGTTCACAATTCTATAGCGGTGTGGGCATCACAGTTACTTTATATTTTTCCATTCTTCTTTATCAAATTTCAAATTCAGTATTTTTTGAGTCGATAATTTCTTGTTTTCTGACAGAGGAAATTTGAGTGTTCTCTAGGCGTTGTATCCATAACTTCTACTGAATCAGCCAGAAGATATTTTATCATTTTACCAAGATATTTTTCACGTCCTCGTGGTAATCTCCCGTCAGGTTAGCAAACCTCCCTCTTTGCTTTCGATATGGCCTATTGTTAGTCTCATCCCCTTTCCTTAAGACACTTTAATACCTGTTGACAGGCCAACCATCAAAGTTTCGCAGCACTCGTTATATTTTTGTCGTGCCACTATGTAAACTATATAACTTCGTTAATTTATGTCTCATCAAGATTTCTTCTATTCTTTTTGGTACTTTGCCGGCAAACAATTTCATCATTTTTCCTCCGAACACCGAAAACTTAAGTGTAATATTTGTAAAATTCATCTTTACATATTTAATTAAACTTTCCGAACAGTAAAACTCCTTTATTAAGTGTTATATCTGGTAGATACATTTCTTGCATTAGTAGTATCCATTTAATTAAAACGGCCGAACACTAAAAATTACAAAAGTTAAAAAGCGACGTTGAAAATCCACCAAAATATGCACGGTTGCATCGTCGCAATTAACGCCAATACGTGTTGAACGCGCATGCGCCTACCGACCGGTAGGCGCTCGCTCGAGAAGTATTTTTGAGTATATTTTTAGCGTTAAACGTGCGTGCCCTCCCTCATTACCAGAAAACACTGGCGGCTCCAGTAAGAGTGAGACTGTGGATTGGTTGCAGGGACGGCTGTGCAGCGCCCTGGACATTACCGAGGCGCTCAACGGCAGAGGACTGGTCCGTTTGCTCGTGACCGTCGAGGACTTGTGTCATTTTGACGAGCACACGAAACGGGCGACCGACGAGTGTGGGCGGGGAGCAAAACCTACCCTTCGGGATACCACAGTCTCACTCCTGCTGCTGTCGGTGTTTGTCGGGACGTTGGCGCTGTTGATCGCGTTCCCTCCACCCAACTGAGTTTTTTCGGGGGTTATTTTTGGAACCGGGCAGTATTACCGTCGCACAGTGGAACGAAACAGATATTTTGTTCAACATTGGGCAATATTTGTTATATAATCTTTTCAGAGTACACAGAATAGGCCGGGATGGTAAAAAGTGCACCTGGAGCTAATGTAACATAAAATAGGCTTGTGGCGATTTACAGATATATTATTTAAGTTTTTTAAAATGTATTATAAGGTCAGAAAAGGCAAGCAAAAGCGAAATACCAAGGATTATCAGCTCTTTATAAACTCAAACAAAACATTGAAAAGCTATTTATTCTCAAGTAAAACGTAATATATAAACATTTAAAAAAAAAACAGCAAAAACATTAACTGATAAATAATGTCTATCGAACAAGTCTAAAATTTTTAATGACAGTTCATTTTTCAAATATCGAGGGTCCTCGATATTTGAAAAATAAAAATTATTAAGTAAATCAGCCAAGACAAAATGATGCAAATTGTTTTGAAGTCTGAAAGGGCCGCCAGGTGGCGTAATTGTTATCTTAAATTTTAAACCTTGGTTTCTATAAAAAATTCCTAATGTATATAGTTAAAATGAGAAATATTTAAATCTTTTTTTGTTTAATGCTGTATCTCAGCAAGGAAAGTGGTGGGAGTGTTCGAATATTTTCTTAAATTAATGTCTATGTCTCTAACGAACTTTAATAAACTTAGAGTCTTTAAAACGAGCTTCTAGACTATAAATCTTACTTTAAATGACGCGATTGCGATTGCTTACTTTGAAACACGCACCTCGATGTCTTTATCCTAACCTAAAATATGAGCAAAAACTGACGCAGGAGGAATCCAGAAGTTTTGTAAAAAGCGTTACAGTAGCCTGTGGAAGTTTGTATGAAAAATTTGAACTAATTGAAACGGTAAACAATCAAAAGACTTTGACAAGCCTCCCTGCAATCTTGTTCATTATAATTGAATTACTTGTGTCAGACAAGTTCATTTATTCATTTTTTGAAAGGTTCTCCACAGTCTACTACTTAAATAAATTAATGTTAATAAAATTAGTATCCAACAAATAATTAACAATAATAGTGATAATAATAATAATAATAATAATAATAACGTTTATTTAGTGAAACGCAATAACAGAATAGTGACAAAAAATAAGTGTTGTGTCATTGGTGGCACAAACATAGACTAACACAATTTCTATAAAAGACAAATATACGATTATAAATAAGCATAATGACCGAAGTAGTGACCTAGTTAGTGATTAAGCGTAATTTCTCATTAAAAAATAAGTGATAATACTAAATATTTGGAAAAAGCTAAGCTAAGCCCAGGAGATTTGGTGCCTATTGATTAAATTGTAAAGAAGTAATAAACATAATAATAACTTTATAATTTTATTTTGATTTTAATTATCTTTTGGCATTCATAATAATAAATTTGAGTTTTGTTTGGTAAATCGGAGATAATAAGACATTAATAACAATCCGTAAAGGGAAATTTAATTTGTTAAATTCTTTTGTTCATATTTTAGTTTAGGATAAAGATATTGAGATGTAGTTTTCACTGCATTGTTGTGCCCTTATTTGACTATCTAATGATTAAAAAAAACATGAGTCGTATTATTTTTTCCGACTATAATAGAAAACTGCACCTGGTGGTCAAGTAAGATTCCCAGTTTATTAAAATGCGTTAAGCCTGTTCGGCTTTTTATTTAAGAAAATGTGCGAATAGCCCCCACCTGTTTTCTTGCAGAGATAGAGCAAAAAGCATGATAATGCTCAATGTAACTTTTAGTTTAATAGCTTAACGTTAGAATTTTTTTATAAAAAACGAGGTTTAAAATTGAAGAAAATAATTACGCTCTCATTTTTTTTTTCAAATTTTTAGCACTCTCCGTTTTCCTAATAGCGTACCTCGTCGTTCTTACTGGGACATCCTGTATATATAACAAAAGTATAATGGTCTGTTATATGCCGTTTTTCGTTTCTTTCGCACTTTTATTTTTCTTAATGATTCGAGCTATATATAAAGATTCGAAACGTAGTTAATTAATAATAATTAACGATAAGATGTATCTTCAAAAATTTGACAAACATTTATTGACAAAGAACGCCAGTTAGATTAAAACAATAATAACTTTTATAAAACCTACGGTTAATTTTAGTCTAACAATCAGATTTTAAGTGAGGTCTGATATTTTTTCTTTTGAAACTACCGAATTCAGTTTTCCATTTTCAAAAAAAAAACATTAGCCCCATGTCCAATATTTAATATGGACTCGTTCCATTGTGCGTCGACCTTGCAATACCGATTCTCGTATTTATTTACAAAGTTGAAACGCAATAGAGAGCGGCGACCAATATTCCTCTCATTATAAATGTTATTTTGTCAAAAAGGGCGACTGAATTACCCACCTGTTCCTTCCGTGATGCATAACCCGTTTACGGAAACAAAAAATGACGAATTAATAATTTTATTCAGTCATTTTTGACAAAATTGGAGTTATTTGAAACAAAGGGGTTTTGTGGGGCCATATTGAAAACAAATGTCGGGTTGTGGTATATACATTGTTCCCCAGAGTCGATGGCTTATCAAGAATAAAAATACGACTTTAAAAATTGGGTTCGGGCAATACCCATACATTAACTTAATTTTTCGAATGAATATATTATTACATTTTTGGATTCTATGAAAAGTTCTATAACTTGCCGTGTAACCTTAAAACAACAATATTAAAATTACGTTGTAGAAAACAGTTAGTAATTAACTGTCTTTCAACTCATTTAGGTAGAAATCTAAAATTTTGGCTATGGCGTGTCAATAGGCTGCTTTTATCCACGTTATCCACTTTTTCTTCGGCACAGTGAAGCCAGGAGGGCAAAGTACTTCTTCAGTGTGGGTGGTAATAACCATGAAAGTCTTTTGGACTTGCGGCTGGTCATTGCTAATACACTTTTTCCTCTCTAATCAGGTCCGACTTTCACCTCAAGTATTATGTTTTACCACAACTATTTTGAATCATTTTGGAGTTAAAAACAAAAAAAAATACGGTTTATGATTTTATTTCCAAAATAGAGTTAAAACATATGTTACTTAGGACATAGACATTTTAAAAATCGGAGGCGTCTGGTCCCAGCAGATGTAGCCACGCTGCAGTGTCTCAAACATTCTGTAAATAGAGATCATAGCCTCATATGCCTGCAATTCAATTTTTCAATGCTTATCTTCTTCTAGTTTCGAGATACTTCTAATAGGCCATCGAATTTGGGGAACCCTAAATAGACGCTTGGGCGCCTGGTATATTTTTAAGTTTCTGCGACAACCAAATATTTAAACTTATCGTATAACCCATCCAGTTTAGTTTCGAAGATACCTAAATCAAAAATGTTCAGAGTACAAAGTGATCGTTTTTTTTTACATTCCTTATTGGATAGTTTTTTTTGTTAAATAAACCAGCCTTACGAGCGAGTGAGAAAAGTAAGAATACTTTTAGTTAGATGCCACGTCGGATTTAGCTAGGATTTGAAAGGCGCCTTACTAATGTTAAGAAGTGATGATCACTCTAAAAGTAGCGGTAGCGGTAGTCTTGTTATAATTAGTGAGATGAGCAGTGCTTAATATATAATTGATTGCGTATATTTTATTTCGTAGTATTTAATGCTTAATATATACAGATTTGAGTAGCTCTTAAGTGGATCGATCTCGTGGTATACCTTCGTACCAGTAATTTTTATAAAATTTACCTTAGTACTAGGATAGATATGTTCTGGCATAGACCAAGCTTTCGCAGAGTTCCGCACCAATGCTAAAAATAATTCTGCTCCTGTTTTGCCACGTTGCCAAATTTAATTTTACATTAATGATTTTGTGTTGCGCATGTTTTGGCTCACTAATAAGGAGCGCTTTCTATAAACAGTATTAGTGTCTATGTCTATGAGGGGCAACCCGCATTATCTAAAAAAGTAATACGAACAGGGTATTTATAAATTCTGGTATCGTTTTTTCGCCATTTGCGTATTATAACCGTATGTATTAAAATAATATAAGGGATTTTTATGTTGAAATGTAAAGGGTGATTCATGTTGAGTGTTTGGGGAGTTTGAGGAGTTTAGGGGAACTAAATCGTTTTTCTTTTGAGAGAATATTGGAGATACAAATGTATATTAGTAAAAATATTTTTTTTTGCAGGAAAAATACAGTTTTCTTAAAACTTTCTTTAATGAGCTAGCTATTTAAAATTTTTATCAAACTTTGACCGTAAGCCATACACTGTGTCAAAAATGTACATTTCTCAAAAAACATTTAGTAATATATTTGACATTGCTATGAAGAAGTTCAATAATTTATCTAATAATAATATTAAACTTACAACTATTTATTATTGATTTGTTAAGCAAGGTATTTCAAAATTATTTGTTGATGTGAGATTTGCGGAACTGCTTAAATTCTTAATGAATTTGTCATACAATATTTATGTTTGAACTGCCTGACGTTCGAATTTTGTCAGCTATATCAATTCTAGATATGTAGCTCCCAGCATCTTGAGATGAGATTCAACTAGCATTTCGTTTTAATAGAATAATGTCAGCACCCCGATTAGCTAGCAATGTCGCTGAACTGCGATGAAAAGAATATCCTGTGTATTTCATTGGTTTGAGCAATTTTCAAAACTTTGGCCTTGCGCAAGCGTAAGTTATTTTTCTTCATGCATTATTTTATATCATCAATACAGTAGTGAATTAAAAAAACCAAGGCAGTTCACATAATCAAATGGTTCATATAATGCAGATTTCATGAAATGAATGTAGATAATGTTTATTATCTATTTATTATGTATATCATACATATGCTGTGATGTAGTTTCGGGGATTTTTTAAGGAATCTTCTTACTCATTTCCAACCTGCCATTTTTGTTTCGCGATTGAAAACATGTTTTATTTTATTTTGTTCTACTACATCAAATACTATCCGCCGCAAATCACTGGAAATTAGACCAAAAAACCGTGTTTTCATATCAGTTATATGAACTGCAGCTTCCTCTTCGGTGGCTTTAGAGAAAGTTACTCTAAGTCCTCCCAAATCGATCTTAGAACTGTCTTGTTAGGTAAAAGCTAAGCTAGTTTGTTAACAGATTTAACTTGATATTTTATTTTCACAAAAACAGTTGGTATTCCTTTGATCCCTCTGATCGCTTGTAAATAAACTAAATGTGAACTCTAATTACCCTAACAATCAGCCAGTGCCATGCGGTGAAAATACGGCTAATGGCATTGGCGGAGTCTATAACGGGCATGCCCCTATGTAGGGTTGCATTTAAAAGAAGTTTTTTATTGATAGTCTTTTTCTTTAGGATTTTACATTCAAACAAAATTTTGGTATTTGGTAGGTATTAAACTATAAAGCTGCGGTTTTCTGCAATAAAAAATTCAAAGTTAGGGAGGTAGGCACAGTGCAACGTACTAATATACGCGGTGTTCCATTCGAATTTCCCATGTTATCGTGTTTCGAGTTGACTTGGAAAGGCTACAGGCGTGTTAATATTTCAAGATGGCGCGCTTAAGCTATATACCAAATTTGAAGAAAAATGTCTAGTTCTCTAGACCTCGACGTGAATCAGCCTTTATTTGAGAGCCACAAGTGATTTTTGAAATTGCTGGCAACTAATTAACGACCTGAACGATCCACGGCAACTATTTTTTCCATGCGTACTTTCGTATCTTCGTTTAACTTTTGTAGTTCCTGATAGATTCCGCGCAATCCAAAGATTTACTCCGTAACTATACCTACTTTTATTTCCAGTCATTCATCCAACGGCGAATATCGTATTCCACAGATTATTCGTTTTTATATATATTCGGTTATCATTATTCCATATTATATTCTTCGATCATTCTAGTCACGTGTCATACTACTTTCAGTATTATAAGTCGTTATTATCAATCGTAAAGACTGTCAAATAATTCCGTATTGTCTACGTCAGGCAGATATTTTGCAAATTTTACTTAATATTTAATTGTAAGTGTTTTGTATTATGTTTTTTTTTTTTTCTCCCAAAATAAGAACTCGAAAATCGCGTTTATCGAAAATTTGTGAATAGTATTTATGAATGGTATCGAGAACGGGGGCTCCGTCTAGATCATCGGGCACGACTGCCGGAATAAAAGGCACATTTTTTCTCAATCACGAAAATATTTGTGTTAAAGTTATTTAATTTCAAATCAGAAACTGTGCGTACTTTTTGAGTGGAAAATAACACACGAACTTAACTCGGTAGAACGATGTTCAGGTACTAATACAATATGGCAACTAGCTATACTTACTAAAAGAACGAAAATTTGGAGTTATTAATATCAGGTACTGATATTATAGGTTAAAAAATAAAAGGGATATCGTTGCATTTATTTTTTTTAAGATAAGAAAGTTTATGTGTAAAGCGTCCTCTGGCGCTGATCCAAGCAGCCTAAATCAATCAGTGTTGATAGCCTAAAGAATCATTTTTAACAACTCCAAGTTTGCCAAAATGCGTTCGGTCATTCTGATGTCTGAAAAATTTTACGAGATAAGGAAATAACTATTTAACAAAAAGAATTGAATTTATCCCAGCTTTACGGTGTCAATTTTAGCCATTTTTAATATAAGTTTTTTTCCCAAAAAATCTGATTTAAACTTTGAACTTAAAAATAGAAATTACTTTTCGAGATACCATCTTTAATCGGGACAGCTAGTTAACACAATTCATTCTGATTATCGAATACACAACAATGCAAAAAACATTTATTTAATATACAATGCGTATGTATGTATGTATATTTTTGAAAAAATAACGACAAACAAATATTTGATCTTAATACCTTATAAAGATCCTATAAATCAAGAAAAAACCCTAATGTAAACAGAAAAAAAGCACATCAGCATAGTTATCATTGAACTCATAAAAATACTTGTGATTGTCTGCGGCTTCAATTTTTTGAATATTGGTCATTTGCCTGACAACACTAACTTGTTTCCAAGTCTCGTCCAAAAACAAGACCACATCTTTCAGGTTTATATTTTCATAGATTGCAAGAAAGGCGTGCAGTCAAGATATTGGAAAAATACCGATGTGTTTCCATCGTCACTAGTCACTACAGAGGGATCGAACTCAATTTACAACCACTCATTAAAAGTCTCCCGTGTCACCTAACTTTATGTTGAATTATGATAACTAAAAGCCTGAGTTGCAACACGGCATGAACGTAATTCTCTCTTTATTCACTTTCCTTCCTGGAGCGGTTGTCTCTCCAGAATGTAGTAGTAGTGTTTTAGTTGGTAGCATTCTCCAAAAGAGATCACTTTCATCCATCCGCATTATAAATTTCATCATTGGTTGGTTCAGTTATTCTTTTGAATTCATTCCTTAAGTTATTCTACAAAAGTATGGACGGCATCGTAATCAGTAGAGATTCGCCACAGTCATCTGACGAATACCGAACCGCTTCTAAACTTCTGAAGCCATCCTTGTCAAGCGCGAAAATCTTCTTTCTGTGTCACAGTTTTATAAAAAGATTTTAGTTTCTTGCATAAAATCCAGACATTGGTGTGCGTGTAGAAAATATTACCTTTAACCCCTGACAATCTTCTAGGGTTTAAACGAAAAAAGTGAAACTATTTTAATTACATACATACATGTTTTTGCCGCCAAAATCTCAAAGAACTGATAATTTTACGTTCGTATCATAAATTTCCTTTCAGATCCTGGCATCTAAATTACGAGATTTTCTTAAGAAAATGAAAGTTGACATTGAAAATAAAGTTTAAGTTGAAATCAATATCCCTATTAAATTCCCCGCTAATAATTTCGTTAAAAGGTAGTCTTAATTGTATTCCTTAAATAAAAACTCGTGAGAATTTCAGTGGTTTCTAAAGGTTTTGTCATGCGCCAAATTTATCAGCACAAAATATGCAGTATATGAAGTATCTATTTTTGAAACTAGAAATGCTTAAGACTATTTTTATTATACATATTTGGCACAGAGAAACTTGCATAAGCTTAAAAATGTTGCAAAAATATTTTCCAATAGGTTTTATTTTATAACCAACTAAATTGTAAAAAGGGTCATTGACTTTACAATGTACATACGTTAATACATACGTGACTAAATTTATTAGAAATAATTACTAAGTTAGCCGTAGCAACACCTACTCCACAAACGGAGCGTACCGATATGATATCGCAATTTGGGTGTTCCGATGAATTGTACTGTAATTTTCATCACCCTATTTTAACCAAAAAGGTAGAATGAAAGACCAAAACAATAGCCGTTAAAACGAACGAGTCGTTGCGCGACATCTGGCGGGGAACCTCTTCCTGCTACCATTTTTTCCCCATTTTCACCTAACATTTTTTCCCCTAGAATGTGTATTATTCTTGTATGCTTTTTAATAAAACCCGAAAGGATTGCGTTTGATTTTATTTAATGCGTGACCAAAGCAGATCGTTTGGTATTTCAGAATCTCATATGTTGCGCCGCTGACGTCCTCGAAGGGAAGGGATTGGTCCAAGTGGCGGTGACGGTGATGGAGTTGATCCGGTTTCACTCGCCCAGATCTCCGCTTCATGCTACCAGCGTGTCTACCGTCGTTTAATTTTAAAGGAGGTATAACTTCTTCTGTTGTTTCAGTTGAGACGACGACTGACTCACGATTCACCTATTTATTTATTTTTCGCAAATATATATATATATTGCACCTCGGGGACCCTGTAGCCGGCGCCCCTATTTGCCTTTAAGTTGCAATATCGTTTGTCATTTACCACGGATACATGTGACTCAAATCGTTTTCAAAATAGTTCTTTTAGATTTTTAGTTATTTTTTAAATTCTGAAGTCGTTTCATGTGAACGGGAATGGCAACGATTCAATAAAACACGTAAACTTGATAGTTTTAGGCAACTCGTAAAACAGAGGTATACCCATCCTTGTCTGACACACGCTATTCGCATTAATTATTTGGGTTATGTTAATGAATTGCTTTCTTATTGAAAAAAATTAAAAACATATTGATGCAAATCCTTGTAAATGTTAACTTATATATTAGCCTTTAGTTTTCAATTGCAAAAAGAGGTAAAATCGTATTTTATTTCCAAGTAAGGCAGAGTTAAAAAAAAAACAAATTTGCAGTGCCTTCTGTGCCTTTGTCTGTGTTTATTTATTCAAATCCGAAAAGGTTTTTAACATGAATGAAATAGTTAGAAGTTTGTTGAATAATTAGCAATTTGTTTAATTAACTGAATTTCATAAATATCTCCAAAATCTAAATTCTCGATTGTTGGATAATGTGGTAAAAAATAATGTAACTGTCCAGAAAAATGTTTAACAAAATTCTTTTTGTTTTTTTTTTTTGTGGATTGTCATTGTTTTTCAGTATAAAAAAGAACAAAGTAATCTTCTCTATTTATAACATTTACAAATGTTTTTTGCCATTAGCGCTACCATAATGATGATCATAATTTTCCTTAAATAATAAAATATTCTCTTTATGATCTGTTATAACTTTCTACACTGTATAAACTATAATAAAATGTAATTTGATCACTGTCAAGTAGTGTATACAGTTCCATGTACAGTGGCATTTGTATTGTTATAACAAACTCCTCTCACTCTTGCACGAGATGATCTTGGGAGCACTTGTATGTTGGAAGGTAATCTAATACTCATTATAAAGCCCAAAGCAAATGTTTACTCGTATATAAAATATGGCGGGACGTCAGGCGATTACAAAATGTGAATTCTTCTTTTTCTTGAAGTTCATTTAGTATATTTGTATGTATTTCCATTTAATAGCTCCTAACAGTGAACTTGCGCGGTTTTCTCTGCAAATGAATTTCGCCCAAGCTTATAACAAGATACGACATGCATCTAAAGTGCAGTGTACTTTGCTGGAAGTGCAGGGATAAAGTCAACCTTTTTTCCATCCCAAATTCATATCATATAAATTTTTTATACAACACGACAGAAGCTGGCTTGAATATTGGCATCAGTCTTATTAGTGCGAAAATATTTAACACGGCATTTAAATTTCCTTTTACAATAAAAAAACTTGAGAATCTGTGTGAATATTTTTTATAACAAGTTGCTTTATTCATTCCTCCTCAAGAAAAAAACACTTCTTTTAAAAGTTCAGAATTGTAATGATAATAGAACAACCAAGCCCTAATTCTAGAACTTGATACATTTCCTTACAAAGGCATATGGTTTTGGTGAGTAAAAATATTGGATTTACGAAGATTACGTCATAATTTCATTATATTTTCTTTCTCGTGGTTTTTGACCAACAATATCGCAGAATGGCACCCCAGAGAATTTGTTTTCTAAAAGCGAGCGCAGGTTTTCAGTGCAATCTCATGTTGCATTATTTTCAAAGCTTTAAATTTCGTCTCCTTACTTCTCCTATCCCATTCGCACTTATTAATTTCTTTAAAAAATGCTTTATTAGCAAGTACAAGTTATATTTTCTTTCCCATTTTGCTACTTTTATATGTGTATGATTTCAATCTTTTTTTGCTTTGCAATTAAGTACATATCTAGATGGTTATATTTGTAAATATATCGGTCAAGAAAAAATCGTAAAAAAAAATGAACGGAAGACTTAAGTGTGACGCTGTGAAATTTCGTATTGTAAACGTGGTGGTTTGTCTCAAGTTTTCCGCACGGATATCGCTTATTTTGTAAGAGTTTCAGACATATCCGCTGAAGTTTTCATTAAGGGTTAGTTTAGTCATGAATACTTTGCATAAATAAAAAATTCTTAGTTTTTCGAAACTGCCGGACAATAGATGGATAATAAAAATGTTTTTTGTAAAGGGTTGAAACTTGGGCGCTGTTTGTGGAATATTTTTGGAATTTTCTTATTATAATAAATTAATTTTTTGAGAGATGGAATTTCTCTTTCTTTTGGAACCAGATAAGTATTGGGATTTCTTAACATTCATTTATTTATTTTAGTTTTTATTTAGTTATTCATTTAACCAGAATTTTGTTTTTCGAAAATAAACTTAGCGACAAAAGAAGTTTAATTTTGACTAGAATTGCTTCAGAAGTGTCAGACTTTTTTTTCTTCAACTCCTGACCATTTTTTGGCAACGAATTTGAAATCACTATAAATATGGTTATTTTAACTGGAAGTATAAAAAAATGTACCGTCTAAACTTACGCAATAATTTGTACAGAAAATGATCAAGATGCGGACACAAATGAGTTGAAATTGGTTTTTATTTTAAAATTAAAGAATTGGACAGTTATTCAGCCTTTAGAAAACTTAAAAACTTACTAATGAATTAAGATATTTTAATTGAATTGAATATCAAATTAAAGCTTACACTTTACAGAGAATAAACTAATTATTGTTATTAACACCTTCTAAAAAATAATGCTTAACAAAACTGTTATATTTTTCAAATGAAATGGTGTTTTACAAGTTTACAAGAACTTTACAAAAAGACTTTTTTCACTCTTCTCCAAAAAAATGGTAATTTTTCAATATCTTACACCCTGCACCAAACTTACCGAAATTACTCTTCGTTCGTTTAGTTGAAAATCCAATATCGGCAAAAACATGTCAGATTGCCAAAACTAGACAACTTCTTGGGGTTCTTCATGTACAATTCAGTTATTTAATAATATAACACGAAAAATACGTAAATTTTAATCAAAGCAGTAAAATGTCGGAATTTTTTATTATTCGATATCTGTGCTGATCTAGGTGATTTTCTTAAATTCTTCTACAACTAAAAATTATAAATTTTTTTCACAAAAAGTAAAACAATTCTTACCTGTTCCTTTTTCATAAAATTGCGGTAATTTTCATGAAAACCATATATTCAAAAATAGTATGCGAAGAATCATCCGAATAGGATGTTTTTAATGGGCCAATTTAGGCTTTTCTTTGTGCGCCTCGCCAGAAAATTTTCAAAAACATTCTGCAAACTGTATTAAATTATGTCAACTATTTCAAATTTCAATCTATCGTCCAGCGGTATAGCTAATTTCCGTACTTGACAATAATTTTTAACTAGGCGTAAATGCACAGCAAGAACAGCTCAAATCGTTTTAAATCTCATCCTTCGTACGTATATTTGTCTCTCTATTTACGAAGTTATTTTTTTTCTCTCCTAATTATAAAGGTGCCAAAGATTAATACTTAATAATGTAAGAAAAACTTTCGATGAACATCACATATATTTAAGTTTAGATAATTTTTGAGTTTGTATGTATATGATAACCGAAAATCAAAATGTTCAGGACGTTATGCGCGCGCATTTCAAAGTTAAAATCCACCTGCAGTGTATAGTCTGTTCATAAATATAAGAAGCCGAGGTATTTTGTGAATTTAATTTATTAGCGAGGTTAAGATATTTAAGTTTAATAAAAGTTATGGCTTCTTATCGTGTAAAATATGTCCTGGATTTATATCAAGAACAATCTAAGTAAAATTTTAACCCCCTACACCGCTTTGAACTTAGTAGCACTTTTCAGCCCTTCTTTTACATAGTGTTAATGAGCGATATGTGTAGGTATTATGCAAACTGCAAATTGTCTACACAGTTTTAGACAATCTGCAAAATGTCTCATGCGTTAGTCGATCTAGAGCGTGTATATTTTTCACATTTTTTGCCTCTTTAATCGGTATTATCTAAGAAGGCATTAAAAGTTAAAAGTTTGCCTCGTCCTTTTTCCATATATGGAATGCATATTTTTGACATTGAGCTCTTCAGGAAGAAACTTTTCTTCTAGCTGTAATGGCACTGCCTTCCTTTGAAAAGTCTTATGTGATTACGCACACTACGTTAAGTTTTAACTTGCGTGGCCTCTCATATCAATGACTGCTTTTTCAAATATCCCTTTAAAGTTGGTCGTCCATTCGGTGCAATGATGTAAAAGCTTTTTGGCACACATCATATTCCTTCACTTCCTCATTCGGATTTTTACTTTAAAAGTGAATGAATGCTCTCTGACATTTGCAATCGTCTCACCTCCTCCTTTGAATGTCTTCTACTCCAATTCTTCACTCTCATTACTGGAATTCACCATGATACAACAACGATAAACACTGCGTATGCGTTGATAAGTTTACATACATGAAATATGGACTTGATAGCCCTTAGATCGCTTTTCCAAAGTATTAATATTTTATTCGATGATTTTAGTGGACTTAGAGTTACATTATTCCTATTTTGGAACGTATACTTACTTGATGAGCATGACTTAAATTCTCCTGCAGTCTTCACTTGTTTTTATCCACTACTTTATCCGCTTATTTATTTCTTTCTGTTAGTCATTATGAATAACACAACCCAACACAGCTTCGACAGAATTAGGCACTGCGCACACTGTCTCGTTATTTTGCATATTACCCAGAATAGTGAATTTGATTACTTCACAGAATACCTACACATTGCGCACATTGACGGTTTTTGTGCATTGCCGATAACATATAAATTATGT